GCTCTTCCTTTGTCTGTTGCACGTTGGGGTTTGGAGGGAAGGAAGCATGGATGGGGGAAAAAAGAGGCCTGGTCCCTAATAGGAACCCATACTTTAGTGTCTGAGAAGTTGGAGGCTTAAGCCCAGTAGGCTCAGAAGACCCTTAAGGATGAATCATGATAACACTCAGGTAGTCTTACAAAGTGGTTGAGTTTCCTCAGCTTCAGCCTGGCCAGAGCCCAGGGACCCTTAAAGCCAGCTCTATTCCTTCTCAAAGCCACTGGCAGTCTCACTTCATACCATGGATGTTCTGAAGAAGAGGAAGAGAAAGAGCAAGAGGTGGAAGGCTATCTAGGGAAGACCATCAATCCCAGGCCAAATCATCAGTCAGCTGCTGAGGAAGACATCAGGGCAAACAGCATGAAAGTAGCCTCCCCTTTACTGCAGGAGTGTAGCTCAAGTGACCATCTAGGTATGGTGAGCCCTCTGGCCTCTTCCTGAGAAGATCGATATCCTCCGTTGATGGGGGCGGGGGGATCAAGTAGAGCCACTGGCCTAAGGCAAGGCTGTGTGTCTGCTGGCTGAATCCTTTTAGCAAGAGGAGGAGGAGACCAGTCAGGGAACGGAAAAGGGGGGACAGGCTGGATCTCCTAACCACACTGAAAGTGTGGGAGATGAGTCTCCTCTGCTTTTTCTCCACTGTTAAATCTGGGCAAGAGGCAGCCTATTTCAGTATCACCAACAGCTGGATAAACAGAGGGAGTCCAGTGGAAGGAGAGTACAGACTGGGGGAAAAAAGCTCTCAACAGGGAGCTACAGAGAGAACAGCTGGGAGTCCTGGAAGAATACACGAAAGATGCTAAGACAAGAAGTGGGGTTGGGAGTAGCATCCTACTTCAGGCCCAAGGGGTCTGATTCTGATCTCATTTACATCGGTGTAAATCTGAGGTCGCTCCATATATGCAGATATGGGTGTAAAACCAAAATTAGCATCAGTCCTGAGTTCTCTTAAGAGAAGACTTTGGTCCTCTTAGGGAATCTGGAGTGCCTGACTGTCCTTGAAATGTGCATCCTCTCACTTCTGCTTCTATCCCCTTTCTATTCTGGGCCGTCCTCCTGCAGCTCTGAAGCCTGAAGAGGATTCCTTTGAGCAAATATGTGTCTGCACAGGGGTGGTATAGCCGTAGATAGAGAACATGCAGAAAGAAGGCCTGGTATCCTCTGCTTCTGCTACAGCTATCCTCTGTGTCTCTAGGGCATGGATGCCAGACAGTGATGTGTTAAAAGAGAAGGATATAAGTTAGCCATTCCACCTTTACAAACCCCCTCTTCTGTTGTTACGTTGCCAATATGGCATCCCAGGAGAAGATGGTGTTAACAACAGGGACAAGTTAGAGACAGAAGTCCTGGATACTTCTGGCTGCCAGTGCCTCCGAATGCCAGGGATCTCTGGCCGCACTTCTTTCCCTTTCCCTTTGTTCTTGAGGATTCCCCAAATTTGGGTCCATACCCATAACTGGTTGATTGCCGCATCACTTATTAGCTTTAAATTGAAGCTGTATCTTTTTGGTGTTGATAAAATGTTATTTGCTGGTTTCTCTGCCTGATGTGTTTGATATGTTTTGTGGTAGCTTCCCTTCACTTCCAGGATTTAGGTTTGAGTTCTCCATCCATGCCTGGCCATAACCCAGAAGTGAATAAAATATGGCTCCAGGGCCGGATCTGGCCCGCCAAGGCATTTTGTCTGGCTTGCAGTGGATCACTTGCCCCCCCTCCCCCCAGCCCAGGCATGGGGGGCAGCCCAGGCCATGGCACACGCAACTAATCCCACTGTCCCTGGGTGCACAGCTGGGCTGGGGTGGCACGGCAGCTGGACTCTGTTTCCTGTCCGGGAGTGAGACAGGCAGGTGGGGCTGGGGATTGGGATCACAGGGCAGTGACAGACTGGGGCTGGGGCAGAGCCACAATCTGCTGCCCGCACATCCTTGCAATGGGCGCCAGGTGTGTGGGCAGGGGCAGATCATGGCTCTGTCCCAGGCCCTGGCCCTGCATTGTAACTGCCCTGCAATGCCAATCCCCAGTCCTGCCCACCCATACCGCTCCTGTACGCGGCTCCCTGCCCACTCGCAGCCCCATCTCATCCACCTGGCTGTGCACCCTGCCGGTGTGGGTCCCGGCTGGTCTTCATGGAGACTCTGGGATTGCAGGGCAGTGACAGCATGGGGCCAGGGCCCAGGTCAGTGCCGCGATCTACTTCCCGCATGACCCTGGGAGTTACTTTAGGGAGTTTTGGTGAGCTGTTGAGGGAGCGAGGAAGGCTCACCTAGACCACAACGGCTCACTAAAATTCCCTAAGTGGCCCTCCGGCCAAAATAATTGCCTATCCTGTAACCTCACAGCTGATACAAGTAGACTTTATACAAGACCTCCATCCTGTTAGCATAGAATAATTGCACTTGGAGTCCCAACCTCTGCAATTTGGTTCATTCTTCAAAATTTGTTCTTTGTCTTGGTCTGTGTATTTGCAGATGAGTTTTTCAGTACCGCCCAAGTGATTTAGGAGCGCACATCCCACCGACAGAAGCTACTTCCATCACTTTGGCACTTCTGAAAATTCCACCATTATCATATTAGTCACACTGAGGCTCATGTAGCATTTGAAACCAAGGAGGATCTCACAAGGAGTATAGAGATCTGTATCTTTCGGTGACATCCAAATCTAAGATGAGAAAATCCAAATCAAATGCTAATGCCAGTGCTGTGCACAGTGATGATAATTATAGTTATTCAGTAATTGGAAAATATAGGGCACATGCAAAGGTGTTTCAGCATTCTGTCATTATTTCATTACTGTACTATTGGAGTAAGGAGGATTAATTGCACGGTAGCTCTGCTTTGCAAATAATTGCAACAGTGGATGTTACATAACATTCTTTTAAGCATTTCTCGTTTGCAAATAAACTATAATTTCCATTTGAATAGTAGGTGTCAGTCATTAGTGCCATGAAAAGCCTTGTTTTCATTCATCAGCCAACAAGACGTGAAAGCGACTAAATGTCTCTTCAAAGCACTCTCTGAATCTCCTCTACCTATTTTTAATAAACCTCTAATTTTATATGAAATCCTTATTCACTATCAAATAATAGAACAGCAAAATACTATACCTTACTTCAGGAAACCACACAGAGATCATTATAAAGCTCTTGATTTATAATGCCGTCTCTAATGCAATTAAAATAATTGCTCCCTAGATCAAATCCATCTCTGATGTAGTTCTATTAAGTTGGTCCACTAAGTTTCCGTTGCTGCTTTTGAGGCAGTATTAACATTCCATAATAAGGAAGTCAAGCTTAGGTCTTCAGGACCTGCTTTCTTTTCTCTCCTGATGTTATGTTGTAATACTTATCCAGTCATCACAGCTGGTCCATAACCCTATTAACTTGAATGGACGCCTCTATACCTGTGGGGTGCAATAGCCTTTGCTGATCAGACCCCTGGATAGTAAAACAGTAAAGTCCAAGTCTACGTTGTTGCACTGACATTTATCCGTGTTCCTCCTACCAAAACCACTGCAGTGCATTCGAATGAGGTGACACAGGTAGAGCTCACTACTGGCCCATTAGAGCAAGGTAGACGGTAACTATACTAATTCTTTCCTTATTTTTAAGCGCTCAGAACAACTAGAGGAGGAGATGATAAATACAAATTTCTTTTTTGGTTTATAGATAGCAGTTTATTTGCCCTTGTCACAGTTCTACGTTTCTGCAGCTTTTCCATTGTTACCTAATAAGATATAAAAAGGCAAGTCTGAATTAAGAAATCGATTACCTTGGATTACATAGTGAACTTTTAAAAAATAAAATGACTACGCTATTTTTTTCTCTCCTGAGCTTACTAATAAGAAGGTAGTTCCTGAGTTATAGTGAAGATACTGAATAGTAAGGGTTTGTTCCAAACTGCAAACCTGTAGGCTCACCTAGCTTTGGATGGTGCAAGCATGCACAGTCATTGACTTTATAACGCAGCTGGCTCCGAACAAGGGATACAGAACACCTGGATTAACAAAAGAGAGGAGAAGGGCTGGTGGTCCAGACAGGGGCAAGAGCTTAGCCATAGTTTTGGTACCTTGCTTTACTGTAATGTGTTGGTATTATGTTTCCATCACCTTAAAACTACTGTCATATTTGTCCTGAAATATTTCTTTGCAGCTTTTCTATTTTTGGTAGTTAGAGAGAGAGGTATACGGTACGCCTGTGCAAAGTTTCAGTCCCTGATTTAATGTGGTGGAGATTCGGCCCGATTTGGTGGCCGAATCTTCAAATCCGAATCAAATCAGAGGACCCTTTAATCTCACCAAATCGAATCAGAACCCTCCGAATTGATTCAGAGACATTTGGAAAGATTCGGTGATTCGGACATAGACACAGCTTTAAATGTTTTTTCTACATATCTCTAGGTAGCAGGCAGCTCGTGAATGCTGCGATGCTGAGGAAGATGGAGCGTCCCATGGTAGCTCAGGGGGCTCCCCAGCGCTCTCGGCAGAAGACCCGGAAGTGGACCAGAAACACTTCCGGTCCACTTTCAGGTCTGCTGCCCCCCTGTGCCCCCCCGGCTCGGAGACTGGTGCCTCCTGGATCTGAGGGGGCACCTGGGATCCCCCTATGGCCGATCGCTGAGCCGGAGAGGTGTGGGGGTGGGGGGGGGGAGCCTCCAGTGTGCTCAGCAGCAGACCTGGAAGTGGACTGGAAGTAGTTCCAGTCCACTTCTAGGTTCGTCACTGAGCATGTGCCCCCCTTCTGCCCCTGCCCCCCGTGCACTCCTGTGGCTACACACCGAGCTGGTACCTCAAGGTATGTAGAAAAACATTTAAAGCTGTCTCTATGGCCAAATCACTGATTCTCTGAATCAGCAACGCATCTTCAGATTCAGATTTGGCCAAATCGAACGGGGGGCAGTGATCCGAATTAACAAATTGAATCACTGTCCCTGATTCAGGCCAAATCCAAATCGAATAGGGCCCACTTCGCACACCCCTAGTATATTGTGTTACAGTCAGGGAGCCAGGGGTGCTAAGAAAATCAATACTATGAGAAAAATGATCAAATCCTTGGTGTGGATTGATTATGTATATAACTCTCCTTTTCCTTATTTTCAGGAGAAGATGGGACACAAACTCATCCTGAGAGCAACAGCCAAGAAAACAAGCCACAGACACGGTGTCAATCTTGCACATCTACATTTCTGAAGATTGTCTGGGGATTTCTGATCATCTTGTCAGTCTCGTCTTCTTGGGTTGGAACCACACAGATTGTGAAAATCACATATAAGAACTTTGACTATCCATTTTTCATGACTTGGTTTTCAACAAATTGGAACATTATGTTTTTCCCTATTTATTATTCTGGGCATCTTGCAACGGCACAGGAAAAGCAATCTCCAATCAAAAAGTTCAGGTATGCTTTATTGTGGTAATATTGCCTTGCATAGCTCAGTAATTGCTGGCTCAAGTGACAAACCTTTTCTTAAATGCAAAAATCTAAGACTCTTGGTTCAGAGATGATACTTTTTTATTAGACCAACTAGGAAATTACAAAAAAAAAAATCTTTTTCTGCAAGCTTTTGGTCTCAAAGGCTTTTGGGCTCAAGCCCGAAAGCTTGCAGAAAAAGATTTTTTTTAATTTTTTTGCCATTTCCTCGTTGGTCTAATAAAAGGTATCATCTCTGAACCAAGAGTTCTAGATTTGTGCATTTCTTTTTGTCTCAGACCAACACGGCTCCCAAATACATACCTGTTCTTAGACATTCATTTGGTTTCTCTTGGGGTCATGAGATGGAGTAAGGGTCAAGCTTTCTATTAAAGTCTCCTTCCTAAATAGCTTCTAAAGAGAGAATAGATTATTAATATATGTTTAAATAAATGATTAATCAGTTCTTATAGATTTTTGTTGTTGGGTTCAGCA